CTTATTCATCTGTGTCAACAACTTGGTCCTAATTCCTTGCAGTCATAGCTCTGCTTGCTCTTTGCTTAGGCTATCTACCAGCAGCGATTCTGATCTGAAGTCTCCTGGACCGTGTGCGTGCGTGAGCATGCGAGTCTGCGTGTGTCTGTGTATGCATTTCTCTGAATACTTAGAATAAACCTTTTTTTTGGTGCAGCTGTTGGGAGAACATCTTAAAGGCTCTTCACAGGATTTACTGCAAATTGTAGTGATTTTGCATTCTTTTTTGGCTTGCTTTTAGTCTGGTATACATTTTAAATTCGTCTTTATGTGCCTTAGCTTTTCATTTCACTGCATTTATACAGCGCCCTTCATGCAGGCCGGTGTCCGAGCACTATTTACACAGTAACATTTAGCTCAACTACAATTTTTACTGGGGGAGTAGATCGGTTTTATTCCAAACATTGACTGACAGCCGAGGGCTTCAAGGCCCACAACGGTGGCCACCAGAGAGACGGAAGAGTAGAGTCAAGCAGTGGTCAGGTACGTCTGAGTTTTATAAGTCTCTCGACTGGAGCGAGAAGGTAAGACATACTCATAAAGGTAATCAACCACTGGAACAGGTTGGCAGGAAAGGTCAGGCCACAGGACTCATTTAACAAGCAGCTGAATACTGTGATTGGGGTGGGGAAGGGTAAGGTGTGCGTTCTGAAGGATGAGATCAGAGAAGGCGAAGGATTATCCAAACCAATCTTGTGATTTTGTTTTTGTTTTGTAAAGCAAGGTGGCCGAACAACATTTGAGGCCCTGGACAATAAAGATTTAGAGGAGGAAGTTGAGCAATTTTACAAGGAAAGTAGAAGTTAATTACGTTAGAATATGGAATTGGGGGTGGGGTGGGGAGGAAACAGACTTTGCTGGAACAAAATAAAGTTTGGCTTCTGCGCTCTGCTCACTGCAGCAATGGAGGAGCAATGGAGCTGCAATGAGAGTGGAAGCCTTTAGAGGTCAGCACAGATCCATTGGTCAGGGGGAGCGAGGGAGCAATTCCGTCCTTCACAACATCAGCTGATTTATGGAATTTCCTCCTTCTAATTTGTCCTGTAGCTTTTCGCAGTGATACACGTGTGGCACTGACCTACAATAGTGACAATTCACAACAATAATAATTATAATAATATAAGGATTCTGATTATTACAACTCACAATAAAGCCAATTTACTCCCACAATTAATTGTAGTCGAGTTAAATGTTTAATGAGACCGTGTAAATGACTACGTGCCGTAACATGAAAAGCTAAGGCATGTAAAGAAGAATTTAAAATGTATATTGGACTAATATATAGTCTGATAGGCATTTAAATATCGGGTTGAAATGCACCTTTGGACCTTTGCGATCGATATGCTTCAGATTTCTTACGATCGAGGAAACCTTTGAAGCTGAGGTTCAAATTCAGCTTTGCGTCTTTTGGATTGGATCTTCAATATCGGATATTATCGATGTTAAAACCATTTTACAGCTGCTTAGGATGTCAGAAATATCTGGTTGCTGAATGACATTTTGTGATTTAAATCCTGGAGCTTGATGCCCCTGGGCTTGGGAGGGTAACCCGGACTAGCCCTGCTGGAATGTGAACATGAGTGGACATCTACTGTCCCCTGTCTCTCGCCACTTAAGTTGTTTGCGGATACATTGAGCTTTCTTTGTTGTTCATTTCGTCACAGCAAACGGATTGTTTTCGAAGTGTTTTCCTTGGTCTCTTCGAGGGAGGAGACAATTGAAACCTGTTCACAAATTTGCTCGCAGTCTGCCGGGTTGGGGGGGTGGAAATCCCTTTATATAACGACAATTTGCGGTTATATAGCACCCCTCACGCAGGGTAATGTCCCAGAGCGCTGTATGAACATTAATCAAGGGAAGAATCAGTTAGTTTACCAGGAGAGGTGACATTCACAGCAATCCCCAGCAGGGCAGATTGTGTTTTATCCCCAGTTTCCTGCCAGGCCAAGCCGGTGTGGTTGCCAAGACATTCCAGGTTGATCCTTGAAATTTCAGGGAACCTTGAAAACATTCTTGGGTGTGTGTTTTCTGAGGGAAAACACCATTGCATTTGAGGTGAACGTTTGCTATTGTCATTGATTTTAGCTGTGACAATAGCAGCAATCCACCGAACTAAAAATATCAGTGAACCTATAAATATAGACTACGTAAGACAGTCACACCTACATTGCTGGATTACTGGGTGGGGTGACTCTTTCATTATGTTATGACGCTGTACAACTAGGCAGAACAATAGCATTTTTCGCAAGCCTGTGTAGATTGTGAAGCTGAGGTGTGGTGTTCACTGTGCATAAGTTCAGAGCTAACTGACTGATTAAGCAAAGCTGCAATTTAAAACAACATTTCTTGGTTTATTGTCTAAGATCACAAGGCAGGGTAGGATGAAGAATTTGTTCTTGTCTTAACAGACTTTCCAACCTATAGTTCTCCCATTACACCTAGTTTATTTTTCGCGTTTCCAAGGGTAATAATCCCTTCATAAATAAATAATAATAATAATTTGGTCACTCAATCCACGACTGTTTGTGGAACACTTCTGTGCTCAATTGGCTGCTGCATTTCGCCCACAAAATATACAGTCAATTCACATTACAGTATATTCTGTGAAGCGCTTTGAGACGTCTCGAAGACGTGATAAGGCGCTATATCAAATGCAAGGATTATTATTATTAAATAAGATCAGTGTCCTCAGAGCAGGAAGCTGTGGTTGAAGCAAAAAGCATCAGTATATTTAAGAGAAAACTTGAGGGAGAAGGGAGTGTAGGAGAGGCTCACGATGAGTATAAATACCAGCACAGATTAGTTGGTCCAAATGGCCTGTTTCCATGCTGTATCAGTCTATGTAACTGTATGTAATCCTGTCTTCACTGGAACCCCATTCCAATCGTTGAGCTGGAGCAATAAATAACCTATTCAAAATATTTTATATCTAATTCATTTGCACTAAGTGGAGGTGCAGGTGATAAGCAAATGACTTACTGGCTCCAAAATGCAGATCCACAAATATTTACAGGCAAATTCTTAGGTGCAGCACATTCTTGCGTGTGACTTACGACCAAAACATGCCAACATCTCGTGACCTGCGTAAGTTTTTTCTCAATGTCACTGTTCAGCCAAGTTTGTTGTGTAGCAACATTTGCTCCAACTAGTTGTTTTGACTACCAGCTCCTAGAATTGATCCATTTAGTTACACATGGAACTTTAAATGCTAATTTATTGACAATTCCCGATACATCAATGAAGCTCGTCTTTAAATAGTTGTGGATAAAGGCCTGTAGAATTTGTCTACTTACCAATTGACCTGTCTGTTTGTGTTAGAGATTTGTTCCACAGATATTCTGTTTTGTTTGTAGACTTTCACAAGACCAGTGGACAAATGTGGACAATAATGTAAATAGACTCAAATTTCTTTGTTTATTTCCTTTGAGGTAACTATTTAATGAGCAAAGAAACAAACGTTAACTCATTATTCAAATAGTCTCAGTCGTGCACCTCCATATCATCTCCTGAAAGGTTTACACAGCCACCGCACTCCCATCCCCATTGTCAGACCCTATTTTACCATTGGGACAGGTATACATTCTGACTCAATGCCATTTGGTGAAACGGTATTTGCACCAGATTTGCACGTTCCATTCTATGCCTATCTCCTCGGAGGTGTTGAAAGGCTTCCTGTTTGCTGCCATTCTTTGCTGGTGTTATTGGGGTCAAGAACAGGGAGAGAGTTCAGATGCATTTGCTTTGCACGATCCATTCTTTGGATCACAATTAAAACCTATCTCCGTAGTAAGTGGTTTAAGCTGGGAACAATGTAAAGAGATACCAGGCATTTCCAATACTTGATTGCCTTGCAGGTCTGATTTTATTCACTCTCGTATTTTTGCAAAATATACAAATTTAAAAAAAGTTTAATGAATACCCTTTTCACAGCATCAGGAAAAGTGATAAATAAAAAAAAGTTACAGAATACTTAATATTAATAACAATCCCTACATGTGATACATAGCACCTCTCATGTTGGGAAGACATACCAAAGCACCTCACAGGATATACTGCGGAGTGGATTGATTTGTGGGTGAAGGTGGCAGCCAATTTTATCCACAGTAAATGCCCCTAACAAACTGCCATGAAGTGAGTGACCAATTGTATTTGGGGGATTGTTGGCCTGGACACAGGGGGAGAGAGAGAGAAACTCCCTTCGCTTTTCAAATAAAAAGGATGTTGGGTGCTGCTGGACGTTTCATCAATGCTATCTGTGTTGCTCTATGATTAGCCCAGCAGGAGGTACTCATCAAGCGGCCAAGATAGACTATGATCATGTTTTCTTTTGTCTCTCCAGGGGAATGTCTCAACTCACCTCAACGCGATGGTCTAACTAGCTTTCTGACCTTTGAATTAATACATCACACAGCTGAGGGAGTGACAGATCTCTGTGGTACATGAATCCATCACCTGGTCAGGAGGTAAGTACATTTCCCCTTATGCTAGTAGTTTTTGTTAGTTCGAATCAGTTGGGGACTTTACCTCCTTTGCCGCATGCTGCAGAAAAATGAGGTAATCTTTCATTCATGTTATTGAACTTCTGTCGGGGGAATAGTTATTGCGTTTGTCGTATCCTGCGAGTGACAAAACAATTACGGTTACAATTACATAGAGGATACTTACTGGGTCTTAAGTGTAGTATCAAGTTCATACAACAAATGGACCAATACATGAGTGGCAACAACATGAGCATCTTACAACTGGCCAGGTTCATAATTTGCATCAATTGTCACATCCCACGTGGAATATCCCATTTACACTCAGATTTGCTCCAGCAGGCAGGCCTGTCTTTATTTCTGAAATCCGAGGTGAAAAATCTATTTAACACATCTGTCAAGTTCTGACCTTCCATAAATACATTTTCTGGGCTTATCCTAGAAACAAACTCTGTGGTCTTTAACACACTGTCTCCCGCTAACGTGTTGTATGAAAGGAGAGAAAGGTTAGCCCCCCGCTCCCCCCCATAAGAACAGAACAACAACAAAAGAGGTCTCGAAGACATGATAAGGCCCTGTATCAAATAAATGATTATTATTATTATAACTCTGTGGCCTTCCACACACTAATGGTTAAGGCATTGCCAGCTACTTAGTGGCAATGTGCCATTTTTTTTCTCCTCCATGGATGAGTTGGGTCGAATGGCCTGTTTCCGTGTCATATCATTGTATGTAATGTAATCAAAACAGTTCTTTAGATCTCACTTCCTTGTGTCTCCAATCTGCTTTGACCTCTTACTTCCTTTAATATAGCTTTCAGTTAGCTTTATACAATTCTGAAAGTTTACTGCGTTTTATTTCCTTGTACATTATTGCTTAAGATATTTCTCTTTGGCTTTTTCAATTAGTTTTATCTCCTTATTTATTTATGCTAGTGTTGCTAACAACATCGCGGAGGTGGTGTATTCGATTAAAGGAACTACTGAGGCTTTGAATTAACAATAATGCACAGAGTGTCATGAATCCAGGGATGTTTCATCATCAATTCAGCTCCTTCGCACTTTCTGGCCCATTAACTCTTCCAAACCATTAGACCCGATGATATCATCAGCATATCCCGTTCAAACACACATTTTAAATTCTGACAGGTTTGGGCAGGACAAAGCAAAATAAATCATCGATGTTTCTCACAACCTTTTGTAACGGGGAGACAGACACCTCTGCCACTTTTTTTTCTTTTGTAAATATATTTGCGGTTTGTTTTTGCACAAGCTAAGTTTTCAATGGTGGTATTCCCTTCTGTGGGAGATGGATGTGATTGATACCTGATGGACTTGCTGCATTAAGGGTCTGATACACGGTTGCTATGGCAGTGTTTATTAATGGAGCTCCTGTGAGACTCGGAGTCATAGCCAGGCTACTTTTGTTGTATGAATTGCTAAAAGCTATTATAAATGGTGCCCCTGGGGGAGGTCTGGTAATCGTGTTTTCAGTGAATCCTTGTTGCGGCCAAACTGTATCTTAATCTGAGATTGAAGTTTCAACATTAATGGTAATAATAATCCTTGCGTATGATATAGCATTATCTTCACTTCTTCAAGACATCTCAAAGCGCTTCACAGAATATACTGTAAAGTGAATTGACTGTTTGTTTTGTGGGCGAAAGGAGTGCAGAGTCCTCTCAAATGCTATCTTCAGCAATGCTATGCCATCTTGAGATTCTACCCTTTGTGAAGAGCCCCATTTAAATGCAAGTTGTTGTTGATGTAATTGAACGATTTTCGATGAAGAATGTTCACTTCTGTCCGAAAATGAAACCAAAGTAATCCATTAAAATAAATGCAGTCATTACAAAAGGACCTCTTATAAATAATCAACAACAATAACAAACAGCTTGCATTTGTACAACGCAATTCATGCAGGATAGCGTCTCGGAGGCTTCACGCTGGTGGAGTTGGACACCAAGCAGAGGGGAAAGGGGAGGTGAATGTAGCAACAATCAAAGAGATAGGTCTTAAATGACAGATAAAGAGGGATCGAGGCAGAGGGAGTGAACCTCTCATGTACTAATAGATATAACTACAGTCATCAAACAGTCCCATATCTCCACTTCATCAGAAATAAATTAACATCTCATGGTAATGGATTTCATTGGGTGTCGGACACCTGGCTGAACAAAAAAAAGTCAGTTTCAACATTGCATTTCAATTGAAATTTAACGCTGATTAAGATTTCTCACGATAAGCCTAAAGAATACTCGAAACACAATCTTGGCTTTTAATTAGCAGTTATATTTGTTAGATAAAACAAATTGTGTGGATAGGATTCCAGTGGACAGGATTCCTGATCTCTCACTTGGGGTCCCCGGCTTTGTGGTTCTCCAGAAATAATTGAACGCCCAACTTTGAATTGCACTTCCCTTCCGAGATGTTGCGTGCCACGCAATTTAGGATTAAAAGTACGGTGCTTCCCTCCTGAGTTATCAGAAGCAGTTTAATAATATCTTCAGGGAGGCTTGGCCCTCTGAAATGCAACACTCAGAAGGTTTTTAATGAAGCAGTTTCCTTTCACATGAAGATGAAAGTTGCTTGGATGTGAAAGAGAAATTAATTTCCCCTGACAAGCCAGCCTGCGTTCTTGCAGAACCCAAATCATTGCTAATTCTTGAGCTTTATTGTTTTTTAACTTTGTGTTACATTCCGGTGAGTATCTTCGGGCCATGTTTCTTATCACTTTCTTCCTAAATGAGTATTTGTTTAGGAAAAAAAGGCTGTAGATACTGGATCCATTCAAATTTTCAAGACTGAGGTGGATAGATTTTTGTTAGGTAAGGCTATCCATGGCAAAGGCCGATTGGAGTTGATGTATAGGTCAGCCACGATCTTACTGAATGGTGGAACAGGCTTGAGGGGCTGAATGACCTTCTCCTGGTTCCTATGTTCCTAACCACATGTGTTATATGGCCAACTTGAAACCAAATGCTGAAGCCTGTGAAATTCCTCGCAGCTCACAAACACTTGTGTATTTTTCCTGCCTTATCTCAGCGCAGGCTGCTCCATACAGGAAAGAGTTAACACAGATTATGAGCCACCCATTGATTTTTTTTTTAGAACCCGAGCTTGTCCACTGGGGACTGTAAGAAATATTCGATATCAATAAAACACAAGCCTGTATTTACAGGAAAGTAGTTTAAAGGGACTGCAAATGCTTTTTCCAACAATTTGATAATGAAGCATTAAAGCAGTGGTAGAGTCTGATTAAAAGCCGTGTGGATTGTGGTGCAGAATGGGACGCTGATTGCTGCACCTCTCTGCCCTAACTCAGTTTTTCCATTAGTTGGAATGGCTGGTTCTCACCTTGTATCCCAAGCGGTTTAAGCTCAGCTTTAGATCGGAATGGGAAGAAAGATTAGCCCTTTCTCTTGGTAGGGCATAGGACCACAAGATCGGTTTGGATCAAGAAAACCCTTCTTAATTGATCTCATCGCTGTAGAATCATGTTGCGTCTTTTTTTTTAATAAATGCATCCAGTGTCCTAGCCTCGACCACCCTTCCTGGCAACCTGTTTAGGTCGTTAATTAGCCTCTGGGTAAAGAAAAACTTCCTGGTATCTGAGATTAATGTTTGGCAAATTCGGGACTGTTTTGAATGAAAATCTGCAATTTCAGATCCTGTCTCTATTTCAAATTTAGATTTGTTTTTAAAGGGGGATTGGGTTGGTTTTGTTGTAACAAAAATCTTTTTTTTTAACAACAAAACTGTTGTTTTGATCTGACTATTGTGAATACACTAGGATTGACCAGGTCTTTTTTTTCTAAGGTGGGTCCTGCTCTGGTTCACTTACCACTGATGACATGTGGCCACAAAATGCAGAAAGATGCATTTCTTTTTGTCTGTAACCAAACATGTGGGAGAATCTTTTATACACGATAAGTCAAAGCCAATGACACGATTGCTCAGACCCAATAGGGCTCTGTGATGGTACAGGGCTTTCGATTTGTCTGGTGAAACAGTTGCAATTTTGAAATTGTTGCAAAAACATGTTATCTCATAAGCAAAACAGACAGAACCTTTTGCATCTTTCAACAAACCATCCACAAATGTTCATAAAGATCCTGTAGCGCTATTCGGGGGGAAAAAAAGAAGCGGTTTCTCCCAGTGTCCCGGCCAACAATCTCCCAAATAAATTTAGTCGTTCATCCCATGGCTGTTTGTGGGACGTTGCTGACATTTGGCTGCTGCACTTTGCCCACAAAATACACAGTCAATCCACTTTACGAGGTGATAAAGCGCTATATCAAATGCAGGGATTATTATTATAATTAACAATATGAAAGTCATAACTTTTGTGTATTTTTAAATATCTCCACATATAATTATAATATTCCTTGCATTTGATATGGTGCCTTTCGCGTCAGGAAGAGTGCTTCATAGGATCGACTGTAAAGTGAGGTAACTGTGAATCTGTGTAAGGAACTATGAGATTATATGGAGATTCTGGTTAGATTTGTGCCCATAGCTGAATCTTCAGATCCAACTCAATAACAAGTAGGATAAACTACAAACACACAAATTATGAGAATAAGGAATATTTGCACAATATAACAATAGATACAGATGGCAATTCTATAATTCTGTGTATATAACACACAATTCTAGTATAAACTAGGAAAAAGGAGCAGAAGTGGAGGGGTTACAATAATCCTTCCGTTTGCTGTCGCGCCTTATCACAGCGGAAGGACAGCTCAAAGCGATTCACAGGATTATACGATGAAATGGAGCGACTGTATTTGTAGGCAAACACGGCAGCACACTTGCACACAGCAGCGTCCCACAAACAGCCATGAAACGAGTGACCAATTCTATATAGGGGGATTGTTGGCCGGGAAACAGGGAGAAACTCTTGGACCTTCTGACTCCAAGGCGAGAGCACTGAGCCAGGCTAACACAACAGGAGAAATATTGCTGAGGAGGGGGGGGGTGGGGGAAAGAAACAGGGAATTGTAATGGAAATCCAAATAGGAAAAAAAAACACACACAAAGGATAAAAGAAAATCTCTGCATTCTAAACCTTTTACAATTGGCAGCGAGTTCAATGTTGTAACACATTTGCAGATGTCCAGATGTCATGTGTGAAGCAGCGTGGCTACAATCTCACAGATTATTGATGTCAACAGAATCCCCTGGGTGTGTCGCAGCCTTTGTTGTGGATTCCTTCCACAGTGATGCTCTTTATCTGTGGCTGCCGTGTGATACAGATTCTCGTCCAGAGGACTCTGTTTATGAATTTTATTCAGGTTTTCAGAGATTAACATTTGTGTAGAAGGCTGTCAGCCCAGCTCCGCTGGTAACACTCTCGCCTCTGAATATATAGGTTGTGGGTTCAAGCATTATGTCAGGACTTTGAACTCACAGAGTCTAGGCTGACACACCAGTGCAATCCTGGGGGGAACAACGTGTTGTCAGAGGTGCAATCCATTGGATGAGCATCAAAACAAAGTCCCATCTACCTGTTGAGCTAGATGTTAAAGGTCCCATTGCACTATTCCAAAAGAGAAGGGAGCTTCTCCTGGTGTCGACTCCAAAATCTCCCAGGAACAAAAAGGTTACTCACTACCCTGCGTGACGGGCGCTATATAAATGCAAATTGTTGATAGCTGTTTGTGATTTGCTATGTGC